AGACCCTTTCTCTAAATAAATAAACAGCCAAGCATGGTGGTGCACGCCTGTAATCCCTTCACTTGGGAAGCTGAGGTAAGGAGGACCACAAGTTCAAAGCCAGCAGAGGCTACAGAAGTGGGTTTAAGGCCAGTCTGAATTACAGAGCTAGACACTGTCTCAAAGAAAGAAAGAAAGAAAGGGGGCTGGGGATTTAGCTCAGCGGCAAAAGCGCCTGCCTGGCAAGCGCAAGGTCGTGAGTTCGGTTCCCGGTACCGGAGAAAAACCAAAAAAAAAAAAAAAAAAAAAGGAAGGAAGGAAGGAAGAAAGAAAGAAAGAAAGAGAGGAAGAGAGAGAAAGGGAAGGAGGGAAGAAGGAAGTTAGATAGATATATACTTTATGGTCCAACACTTTCATTTCCGTGTGGGTACTAGCCACTAGAAATGAGTGCTTTTGCCCACTGCGAACATGTACTAGAAGGTGGACAGCAGGGCCACTTGTAACACCCTCAAACTAGAAGCAACACAAGTGTACACCAACAGGTGAAAGAATAAACAAACCATGGCATATCCTACTATGGAATACTATACAGCCCCGAGAAAGAACACACTACCAGCACAGGAGATGTGGATGAGTCTCACAAGCATGATGTTGAGTGACTGAAGCCAGACACTAAAGAATGCATAAAGCGTGAGTCCACTTATACAAAATTCCAAGACTAGCAGACCAATATGTACTGTGAGAAGTTAGGAGAGTATTTTATCTTTGGCTTGTAGTGAGAGGATTTCTCTGGAGCTGTTCTGCCTGCTTTCTTTTTTTTTTTTTTTTTTTGTGACAGGGTCTTGCTGTATAGTTCAGACAGGTTTTAAACTCACTATGTAGCTGGGATTGCAGGTGTGTGCCACCACACCCGGCTCTGTCTGCTTCCTGACATGAATGGTGGTAAAATGAGAGTGTGCATTTGCAGAAGCGGTGGACACTCGCCATTTACCTGGCCTTGGCCTTCTGTGTCCACGTACATTAGTATAATAATAATTTTTAAAATTATTATAATAAATATATAGTTATCAATGTGTGTTTTATAAAATCACCCACACACAGAGGAAAGAATTCACATTAATCCTCTCCAAGTGGAAGAGAAGGAGATGATTGTGCTGGTCATGGCGGCACACGTCTGTAATCCCAGAACTCTAGAGGCTGAGGCAGGAGGATCATTGCAAGTTCAAGACCAGCCTGGGCTACAAAGTGAGTTCAAGGCCAGCCTGAATTGCACAGTGAGACCCTGTCTCAAAAAGAAGAAAAAAAAAAAAGGCCAGCCTGAATTGCACAGTGAGACCCTATCTCAAAAAGACAGAAAAACAAAAAAACAAAAAAAACATTGCCCATGACCACCCAGCACCCTACAGGGTCTTCAAAATCCAGCTTCCAACAGCTCCTCTCCCGTCAGCATTTACCCCTCACGGACCCCCGCTGGGCGCCTACACTCCTTGAGTTTCCAAACCAGCCTGGCCTGACCCTCTGCTCATAACCATCTGACTGGACCTGACTCAGTCCCCACTGGACTGAGAACACTGTGAGGGCAGGACCAGGATAGCTCCGATATCGTTCAGCACGGGCTATAAACAGAGAAGACGGAATAAATATTTTCTAGCTGAAATAAATTTGGAATTTGAAGTTTATATGTTTCTATATTTTTTTTTTCTTTTGCAGTAATTTGTTTTTGTTTTTGAGACAAGGTCTTACTATGTAGTTCAGACTGGCCTTGAATTTATTTTGTAACCCAGGCTGGCCTCGAACTTGCAAAGATCCTCCTGCCTCAGCCTCCCAAGTGCTGGGATTACAGGTGTGCACCACCATACCCCACCCTTTTGCAGTACTTTGAACGCAGGGTCTTGGCACAGGACTACATCCCCACCTCACCCCCTTTTATTAATATTTTTTTGTGTTGAAAAAGGATCTTGCTAAGTTGCTAAATTGACCAGGCTGGGATTACAGGAGTGTACCACCGAGCTCTGTTTCTAGATTTTTAGGGCTCGAAAAGTCTAAAAGCATAATTCTAAATTTCCGTGAGTACCTGTTCATATCAGCCTAGGTTTCTAGATCAGAGGCTAGTACTTGAATTTGGTTCACACTTTGTACCACATACAAATTGTTTTTCAATTGGAAAATTCTAGATCGATATTAGAGTTAATAACTTTGAACCTATATTTTTCTATGGCTGCAGCTGGTGACCATAGGTCAGATATCCACATCTCCCTGTCCACGTACTCATTTATGTATGTATTTATTTATTTATTTATTTTGGTTTTTGGTTTTTCTCCGGTACTGGGAACCGAACTCACCACCTTGCACTTGCCAGGCAGGAGCTTTGCAGCTGAGCTAAATCCCCAGCCCTTCACTTACTCATTTATGTCACCCACTCCCCCAGAGGCCTTTGAGTGTGACAAGCTTGCGCAGCTCCTCAGACAATTCTAAGAATCTCAGCACAGGCTGGCCTCTTTATCTGCAGATTCTACTGACTGGGATGAAAATATTAGAAAAAAAATTGCATCTGTACTGAACATGGATAGGATTTGTGGCTGGTCACTGTCTCTATATGATATAATCTAATAACTACACCAAGCTAGGTATTGTCTAACACATTCCTACCAGCTTGGACCAACAGTGGTTACATGCGTGACTGTCCCATCTGGAGGCCTATAACACTGGTGGTACAAGTGGGTACAAGTGCATGGGACTGGTGGTACAAGCGCATGGGACAATCACACAGTTACCGCTGGCGGTATAAATTGCCCGGCAGCGAGACATACAGATTATGGCCCTGTCGTGAATGTGTTAAAGTATACAGGAGGATGTGTGTAGGCTATATGCCAATACCATGCCATTCTATATTGCAGACCTGAGATCCTCAGAAGTACTAGCCCTGTGGACCGAGGAATAACTGTACCAAAATTCCCAGGCTTAGCCGGGCGTGGTGAAGAACACCTGTAATCCTAGCAGCTGGGAGGCCGAGGCAGGAGGATCACTGCAAGTTCAAGGCCAGCCTGACCTACATAACAAGACCCTGTCTCAAAACAAACAAAAAAAACCTAAATTAAATAAATAAGATACAATGATTGTAAAATGTTGAGTTACCAAAATCCTCAGATTATGAAGGAACTGATTTGAGCTTTAGTGTTTTGAGATTTTATGATTGTAATAATCAGTACCAAAAAAATCAGTACAAGGGGCTGGGGATTTAGCTCAGTGGCACAGCACCTGCCTGGCAAGTGCAAGGTCATGAGTTCGATTCCCAGTACCGGAAAAAAATTTTAAAAAATAAAAAAATTAATACAGTGGCCCATTTCCCACACGTTCAGTCCCAAGGGGCACTGTTGTTCAGGGTTTAATGTTTTAAAAGTTTAGGATTATGAAGTTATATATTTGTGATAGTTTAAAGTTCTGAGTTTCCGGGGGCTGGGGATTTAGCTCAGCGGCAAAAAGCGCCTGCCTGGCAAGCACAAGGTCATGAGTTCGGTTCCCGGTACCGGAGAAAAACCAAAAACCAAAAAAATAAAAAAAATAAAGTTCTGAGTTTCCAAAACCCTATGTATATATTACCCTAAGGTTTAAAGGTGTTCGATTTTGAAGATCTATGTTCTAAGATTCTATAATTATAAAATTCTCTGGTTTTGCCGATATTGTTTCTAAAATATCAAAGTATGGTGGCCAACCAGCCCAGGTGGTCTGAGACTAAGGTTTTCAGTAGTAAAACCATGAAGATTTGACCACTCTACATCCATATGCCCAGGATCCTGTTTCCTATCTTTAAAAGGTTTAAATTGGGCTGGGGATTTAGCTCAGCGGCCCAGCGCCTGCCTGACAAGTGCAAGGTCATCAGTTCAATTCCTGGTACCGGAAAAAAAAACAAAAAACAAAACAAAACCAAAAAAAAGGTTTAAATTATAGTCTTTTAAAAATTAAATAAATAAAAATAAGATCTTAAGGATCTATGTGCATTAGAGTTCAGATTTCTAAGGCTTTCAGATGTTTGGGAGCAACAATTTCAATTTCTGACATAGCTGACTATAGAATTCTGTATTTCCAAGAGTCTCCATTGTTAAAGGTCTAAATTTGTTTTTCCCCAGTACCGGCAATCGAACTCACGACCTCGTGCTTGCCAGGCAGGCATTGTGCAGCTGAGCTAAATCCCCAGCCCCTAAAGGTCTAAATTTTAAAGAATCTCTGATGTAGCCAGGCGTGGTGGGGCACACCTGTAACCCCAGCACCCAGGAGGCTGCAGCAGCATGATCGTTGCAAGTTCAAGACCAGCCTGGGCTACAAAGTGAGCTCAAGGCCAGCCTGACCTGCATAGCGAGACCCTGTAAGACAAAAAAAAAAAAAAAAAAAAAAAAAAAGAATCTCTGAAGTTTATAATGCTCCAAAGTCCTACACTCCGATTGTTCTGCATTTGGGGATCCTAAGGGAGTAGTATGCTCACAAAGTCCCATGTTTCTGGGGTTGTACATTATGAAAGTTCTCAAGTTGTGCTACCCCATACAGCAGCCACGAGTTCCATGTGGTTATTTAAATTTAAATTCATTAAAACTAAATACAATTTTCCTGGTTTGGTGGTGCATGCCTGTCATCCCAGCACTAGGGAGGCTGAGGCAGGAGGATCACTGTGAGTTGGAGGCCAGCCTGGGCTACATCTTGAGCTCAAGGCCAGCCTGAACTGCATAGTGAGACCCTGTCTCAAAAAGACTAAATAAATAAATAAACGAAATAAAATGTAATCGTGTCCCTTAGTCCCTCGAGTGCTGTTGGCCACATTTCAGGCACTCAGTAGCCACACATAGTAATGATTACTATGCTGGCCATCAAAACTACACAGCACTTCCGCATTCGTGGGATCCCGCAGAGAGCGCGCTAAAGTTTTAAGCGTTAAGTGCCTGGAAGTCCCTTACCCCTCCCACCCTCAAAGGCAAAGGCAACAAGAAGCACAGAGGCCGCCCCAGCAGCCCCCTCTGCCCACCCAGTACCTGCCAAGGCCTTGATCCGGGAGCACTCGAAGAGCGAAGCAGCTGCGGTGGAGGCGGCCGGCGGCTCCCGCTCCCAGCCCCGGTCGGGACTCTCCCAGCGGGCCGCAGGGTTGTTGTTGTTGGGGGCAGGTAGCCCCTCCATGTTGTCCACTTCCCCCGGAACTTGCGCCATTGGGAAGGCGAGGCCTGGGGATGGGGAAAGGCAAGCTAGGGCTGGAAACCGGTCCCGAGCTCCAAGTACTCACTTCTAACAGTGACAGGCTCTAAGTCCTGTGTCCTCGGACATAATTACGATAATAGCAGGGCATGGTTGCGCACACTTGCAATCCTAGCTACTTAGGTGGCTGAGACAGGGGGGTCTCAAGTTTGAGCCCGCGGTAGGCAACTTAGTGAGACCCAGACTCAAAATTTTAAAAGGGCTGGCAGTGTAACTCAGTGGTAGAACTCGCCTAGCACATGTGAGGTCCTCAATTCAGTCTTGCCAAAAAAAATTCTTAAATGTTCACCCTAACCACGTCACACAACTATGCTAAAGTCCCTGACTTAGCACCTGACACAGGGTAGGGGTTCAGCAGTTTATCACTGTCATTTTCTTTCTGGGTACCAGGAATCGAACTCAGGACCTGCACTCACTAGGCACTGTGCCCCTGAGCAATAATCCTGGCCGCTGTCACTTTTATTATTAAAACAATAACATTATGTCAATAGAACTCAATAAGGCAACAATAATAACAGCAGTAAACATTTATTGACCACTTGTTCTTTGTTTAGTCCTTTATATACATTCTCTTATTTAATTGTTACCAATTTAGTTCCCTAGCAACCAGTTATTCTGAAGCTCCTTTTGTAGAGGAGGAAATTGAGGCACAGAGGGGTTATTCACTTGCCTGAGTTTATGACTAATAAATAGTTAGGATTCACATGTAGGAACTGTGATAAAATGATGATATTAACCCCAATTCTTCACCCTTACAGCCACACCCTTTGCCATATAATTCTTCAGTGGGTGGCTGGGGATTTAGCTCAGTGGCACAGCGCCTGCCTGGCAAGCTCAAGGTCGTGAGTTCGATTCCCAGTACCGGAAAAATAATAATAATAATAATAATAATTCTTCAGTGTCCTGCGATTGCTAGAGAGAAAGAGGTCTGTGTGTAACTAGACTTGCCTGTGTCACTTGATTTGCCAGGAGAGTTGGGTGGAAGTGATGGGCGCCCGTGCTGGGCGCTGGACTAAAGAGGTCAAGCACGTTTCTGCTGTTTCTCTGTGGTGGCCACAGAGAAACACACCCGGGCTAGACCAGGTCTGAGGCCCCCGTCATTGCAGCCAAGGCGAGGTAGATCCCCTGCTGCGCCCTCAAGATAAAAGTGCACCCAGCAGAGACCAGAAAAACTGTCCAGCCAGGTCCGGCCTAAATCGCGGAACTCAGACTCCTCGGCTAAATAAATCCTTCCCGTTTTGAGACACTGAGTTTTGGGTGATGTTTCACAGCTTTACTCCCAAGTTATGCCTTAGGACGCTGTTAGATTGTAGCTATGAAATCCAAAGTGGGGCTGACATCAGGCACATGTCCCGGTTCTAAGACCAGAAAAGGAATTAATTAATAAATGACTCCCTTCCCCAAAGACCCAGACAGACGCCTGAGGAAGGCAGGCTGGCCTGCGGTGTGGTCAGGATAGCGGAGGGTGTCCCTCTGAGTGGACGCACCAAACCACCGCGATTCTCTTCTCCCACGGAAAGCTTTAGTGGGTACACGGCCCCCCCCCACACCTGCGTGACCTCGGTCGTGTCACTTCGCCTTTTGGGGCCTCTGTTTGTTCACCCTCAAAAATCCTAAGGATATTTGAAGATGAATTAAAATACGGGGAACATGGTATCTCCGTACATGTTTCTTGCTATTGTCCGTTTTTTCCCCCTGTGGGGCTGGGGCTCAAACCCGGGACCTCCCAGAGCTCTGTGCCTGAGCTGCGCCCCGACCCACTGTTGCCTTCCTCCTGGGGTCGCACAGCCCAGTAAATCCAAGTGCCTGTTTGGAGTCAGACAGGGATGAGTTCACCTCCTGCTTTACTCTTGCTGTGTCTTTAAACTGCTCTCTTTACCTCGCCTCTCTGTGCCTCAGTTCCTTCCCCGCTAAAGGTGTCACAACTGTTTCCTCAGTGCAGAGTACTTGGGGATGGGGAGGCGCTTAGCACTTGGCCACCAGCTCTGTCAGGCCCAGGAGCAGCTCTGGCATTGCTCGGAGACTGGACCGAGCAGGAAGAGAGGCGAAGGTGATGGGGAGGTGGGCAGGGGCGTCCCGCGGCCCCGCAAACGCCGGCCCTGCGCCGGGCTGCGGGTGGGAGCGGACGCGTTAACCCTTCCCACGCCGTGCCTCTCCCCGCGGTGCAGGGTGCGAGGGGAGGAGGGGGCCCGGGAAGGTCAAGGCCGGCGAGCGACCCCCGCGGGGCGCGGAGCGGGACTGGCCTGGGAGCTGGGGCTCCTTCTGCCGCGACCCGCTGCTTCCACCCAGCTAATGAGAGTGAGGGGCGCAGGCCGTGCGGGCGCGGGGGAGGATGCTCGGCCGCCGGGGAGATCCGGGGGAGGGGCCATCGGCCG